CCTTCGCCACCCAGGGTCTGGCGAGCCGGCGCCGGCCGAGCTCCGGGAGCCGAGGAGAGCACCAGCCGCCGCCGCGGGAGCTGCTCCGGCCGCACCATGCGGGAGCTGGCCATCGAGATCGGGGTGCGAGCCCTGCTCTTCGGGGTCTTCGTGTAAGTAGTCGCTTACTGTGGGCGGGGCGCACAGACTCGGAGCCCACCGACAGAGCATCTCTGCGCTCCAACTTTGTTTGCCCCGCCGGGTCCCTCCAGGGCCTGGGTTCGAGGTTCCTTCCCTGCCAGGTGCCGGGAATGTGTCCTGTGGGACCAAAACAGATCCGCCCTCTGCCTTCCGAGTCCCTCGGTGCGGAGCAGCCCGCGCGCGTCTGGGTGGAGACCTGCCCCTGCCACACCACCGCGCCGGGAGCGGGTCCTCACTGCTCGGGTCCCCTTGCCAGCGGCTTTCTTGGGTCCCGCACCATCTGCCCGGGAGATTCAAGGCTGCTCCGGTGAGCTGGGACGCACACCTTGGACCGCGTCCTGGGGAAGTTTCTCCTGTGTGATCTTTCAAACCAACGTTGGCAGTCCTGGTTCCGGCCCTGTCCTCCGCTTCCCCGCGCAGTCTGCTGAACATCTTCCCTCAGAGCATTCGTGGTACTTTTTTCCCTGGGAAACTGTTGCTGCGGAGGTTCGGAACTCGGGAACCCCAAGCCAGACAGTGGGCTCGGTACATCCCGGAGCTCTGGGCCCAGTCGATGTTCGCTTCAGGTGCGGAGTGGGGGTGGGGGCGGTCCCCCTGGGGCAGCAGCGAAAGGCCCGGGGTGACTCTGAGCGCCTAGTATCTGGGAACCGCGATCTCAGAAAGAGGAGGGGGCAGCGGCACAGGTTCCTTCAGCGCCACTGAGCTTCATGCTGGTGTCCCGAGGACCCGCCAGTCCCTGGCCTCGGAATCCAAGCAGCAAGGAGCTGTCCCATCTCCTCCTTTCGTATTTGAGCCAAGAACAGCAGCCCAGAACCACTCCACAGCCCCCTGTGAGTTCCTGTCACCCAGGAGAGCAGGCGTCCACATCCGCACTCGTCCCTCCATCAGCGGGTCAGGTTCTCGCTCACTCTGCCCATGACTGATTTATGACACATTTTAAATATAAACGTTGCATGAACTTTCTGGATTTGCTGGATTTTTGATGTTAGTGTTGTTGGGGAATCCAACAGAGCCAAACAGGAGGGCCCTCAATGGTTTCTGCCCCAATCTGGAGTCATCCGTGGCAGGTGTGCTGTGTCAAAGCTGACTTCTGTTCCTGCAGCCCAGGGTACACACACAGAAAGAATGCCCTTTCTTGCATGTTTTTCTTTACTAGGGATGAAATTCATCCAGAGTATTTATTCACACCATCAGAAAAGGCCGTGAGCTCCCCCAGATGCAGGCAAGCCCCCCTCTCCGGCCTTCTGACTGAACACTGGTGTTATTCACTGGGAAGAAGGAACGAGAAGAACTTCAGTTGGGTCTTGATGCCTTTAGAAAAACAAAGTACTTTTCCCTTCTCTTCCTCTATTTTTTCTACCTTTAGAATAAACATTCAAACTAGTAACAGTTGTGTGATCAGATGGGGACAGTTTCCCATTGGCAGATAGGCTAAAGCCCCTGAAATTATTATGTGGTAGAAACACTAAAACAGTGTTCATGGGCAGCAGAATTTAACATTTGTTGGACGGATGTTTGTGTGAAAAATGTTAAAATAAAATGAGAGGCTCTTAGGCTGCCTGGTTTGAGTGTGGCTGAGAATTCTCAGACTTTGAAAAAGGTCCCATAATATGTAAAATATTTATACTGTTTTCAGGTTTTCCTTCAATGTCCTCCCAAACATTTATGAAATGTTTACAAATATGTAGTTACTATGTATGTGCTGCATATTTTTTCTAAGTTATGTAAAAACTAGGCAGGCATTTACACTCTTTTCTCCAAAAATCTTCCTTCTGTTAATGGGGGAATCTGCTGCCACCTGCCCTGGACTTACATGAGCATTGAAGACATTTATGGATAATTCCCATGTATTATATCAGAAGTATTACCAGTGTGTCCACCTTGTGGCAGTTTTACCTTCAAAGACCAGCCTTTATGTGAGCCCCCTTCTGGAAAGGCAGAAGGAATCTTGGCTGTTCAGATAGTTATCAGCAAGCAGACAAAGACTTCCAAAAGAATGGTTAGGAGCACACAAATACAGATGACCCTTGGTTTTCTCAGATAAGCTTCTGGCGCCTTGACAGAGGTTGACTTTTGGGGAAAGTTTCATTCTTCCTTTGCCAGTGCTAGAGTGATGGCAAGATTCAGTGAGTTGTACCCATCTCTACTCTCAAAGATGGTGGTCTCAGTAGCACCAGAGGGTTTAGCAAGTCCCTTCAGACAAATCTGATTTCCCTGCTGGAGTGTCCAATTAGGTGATAGAATTCACCATCTAGTTCTGCTTAGTATTTCTACCATATTTCTCTGGATGACAGAATTTTGATGTGAGAGTAAAAGGGAGAATATGTCTTACTTCTTGCAAACTTACACCTCTGGAGAAATATCTCTGTAGATGTGTCTCTTCTCTGATCACATTTGCTCTGTATGAAAGCAGGGATCCCCTGCCCTTGGCCCACAGGCTCCCTGTAGATTCCAAGTTGGAGCTAATGAAGTGCATGTTGGACCGATGGCTGGTAGGAAGATAAGCTTTCTCTTGCTGACTCTTAAGGAACCAGTTTTCTGTTTGTGCTTTGAGTACAGTACTGAGATTTTGTGCATTCAGGATTCTAAGAGGAAGCTATCCAGGCAATCCCCATAGACATCCAATGCCTTTGGGCAGTTCTGCCGAAGAACCTCACATCACTGGGAAAAAAATGATAAAGAATAATGTGAAGCGGGGCTGGCACATAAAGTTTAACCTAACAGAAAACTAATTGATTACAGGAACCCAATGTTTAGGACAAATACAAGCACAATCTGTAGCTTTGAGACTACATTTAGTGCTATGAAGTGTGTGGGCCTTGAGGGCCTATTGCTCTTACTCATGAGCGTGGGCAGAACAGGGAGAAGGACAAGCACCCATGGGCTTCCTCCACCCTGCTGCCACTCGTGATTTCACCAAAGAGTGTGAGGATTTGTGGAAATGTCAAAGCCATGCTGGTCTTGCTCGACAAGCACACAGAGTGGAAATGAGTTGGCTAGTTAACAGCCCAGCAGATCAGTGTATACTACTAGCAGTATACCACTAACTTTTACTGCTATCACCAGTGTAATAGCTACCATTTACTGAGGGCTTCCTATACCTCAGGCACTAATAAAGACAGTCATATATGCCATTTAACTTGATGAAAGCAATATAATGATATTTCTTCATCACGGATGAAGAAACTTAAGCATAATCAGCTTAAGGAGCTATCCAACTTACAGAGCTAATGAGGGTGGCTCTGAGACCTAACTCTACATGTTCCACCTATGTAGTCTCGACTTTCAATCTCTGCACTGTAGAAAAGATAGCAGGCAGTGTTGGTCAGTCCAGAGCTTCTGTGCAAAAGGCATTTTGTGTGATTTCACTTCTCAGCCTCATCTCACTTGGCAGACTTTGTTCATTATCCCCATTTACACATAAAGAAACCAAAGTTTAGGAAGGTTGAGTCACTTGCCTGAAAACACTCAGCCTGAAGGAGGTAAATCTACATTTCGATAGGGAGCTGACCCCAAGTTTCAAAACTCTAAGTCCCTGTGAGAGATGCATCCAGCCCCAGGCTTCCAGACAGGAGTGATGGCAGCCAGTGCTGTGAGCAATCTCCTGGAGGACCTGTTGTCTCTAGAGAAGCAAGTGTATATTTCCTGGAGTAACATGTGGGAACAGATGGGTCACCCTGGTTTTCACATCAGATCTGAGGATGACATCCTAAAGGTGGAGGGATGGCCAGAGTGGTGGTTCATACTCCCTGAAAGATAGATTTGGGCATGCCACAGCTTGTGAGGGCAAGATGTGGTGAGTACACTGCTGGTGAGGACATACCTGGTAGCAGA